ATTCCATTACATTTCCAGATCGCATTTATGAACGATTGACAATTTTCCTGTAGCCCTCACACAAGTCCAACAGCGCTTTATACATGCCATCAACATTAACATCGCTATGCGAAATCGCTCTTTGCTGCTTGTACGGCTGAAACTCCAACGAATCCTGTCCTTTGTATCCCAAGCTGCCGTCTCCACGTATTGGTCTGCGTTTCTTCTTCTTCCGCTTGTTGATCTGAGCGTTGATCATCGCCTGCATGATCTGAGCAGTGTTGGGGTCGTACATGTAATTCTGCTGTTTGGCTTTGATGGCTGCAATGATGAGGAACAACAGATAGCCGCCGAAAGCCAAAAATGCCAACGAGGTGACGGACGTTTGGAAAACTTTCGAAATGCCTTTCGTTTGGTATTTGCTGCCCTCCTCATCCGCAACGTGTGCGTAAAACTCATGCTGCTTGTTCAGTAGTGCGTGAAAGGGCAAAGCTTCAGGGCCGTTCTCTATAAAATGGCACACACTTAAAATACAGCGTTAAGCAACTTCCTTCCTGCATGCAATTACTATTAGATTATTAATAGGGAAAAGGGCATTGGAATAAAATAACTATGTATTTATCTCAACACAAGCAGAGCGTAGTTTATTATGCTGTTGATACAACGAGTTCTTTAAGGCCCATTTTCATCAAGCGATCTTAAACCAGTTTAACGTATGAAACTCAGTTTGGCGCGCGAAGCGGATTTCACCAGAACCTTAAACTTAGTTTGTGCTTAAACGCGCTTACAGAAACGAACTGGCCGATTTTGGGCGTTTATAGCTTTAAGCGCCGTTTAAAGACTTGATCTAACCTCACTGTGTAAAGAATTGTTGTTGTCGGTCGACAGAAAAATAATAAAATAGAAATGGCACGTAGGCCAGTTTATAACTTAATTTTCGAAGAAGTCTACGAATATTTTAATGTTGCTTATGTACTTTGTCTGTCCTGTCTGTAATTGTGTCGCCGATAAGCCAACTTCTCGGTGCTGCATGCAAATTTCTGCTAGAGATTTTAAGGGTTTCAGCACAACTAAGATTCCAGCTAACATGTTTACCCAGTAAAATCCTTCCTGACTCCTCCGCTTGCCTTGTTTATTCAATGAATTTTATAAGGATCTGAAAGGGCGTCCGCAGGACTTAATTTTCTACTTGCTTAAGGCCCGTATGCACCGACAGACTTTAATCGCGATTAAGTCTTAAACCGGTTTAAAAATCGTAAACGGTATGCACCGTCGACTGTTTTGGCCTTAAACGCGTTTAACTTTAATCCGCCAACCTCCGAGGATTAAGTTCTTAAAC